TGTCATAGGGTCTGCAACAATTGGCTTGAATTTAGCAATGATTCTGAGGGTGGCATAGAACAAGACAATATTTCAATATGTTGTGCATAAGGACGCCAGGGGTCAGAACTGACCGGATGGCATCTAACAACAACGACAGCATCGATCAGAGGGCTGACTCCTTGAGGAGGGACCCTTATCATTGAGAGTGTCGTATAGACAAATAAGACACTGGTGAGTATTTTAGAGATGAAGTAAGCATTAGATTTGGGCAGAAGTCAGACCTGTGGAGGCGCAAACACAACAAGTGCAAAGTTGGGGGGGTGTTGTCTTGTTGCACGGAAGGTCTCGAGGAGTCCTAACTGATTTGATGGCAGCCAAAAGCAATGACAAGAGTTGTGGAAAGAAACCAAATTAATGTCTTCCGTTATAGACCCTGGAGACTATTATTAGAAGACATTTGAGAGTTGTAGGAACCATAGCAACTGTCTATTCTGGCCAGGCTTCATACAATGACATGCAGCACACTCCATTCATAGCAAGCCCCTAATAAGAGGTTATACTCTCTTACATTTTGTGCATGACCTCATCTCAGAACCATTTGCTTCAGCTCGCTTTGTATTCTACTTTATTTACCCAACACATATGGGTGTCTACTATGTGGCTGTCACTGCTCTTGTCCCTGAGGACAAATGAGTGAAATGATAAGCAGTTGCCGCCCTTACGGGGCTTGTGTTCAATGGAGAATCACATGTAAGAACACATGTAAGCAAAAGTTTTACGAAGCACAGTGAAAGATAAAAACCAAGGGGCTGAGACAAATTTGAAGGGTTGGTAATGAGATCGTCCTAAAGCAGAGGTAGGCCCTCTGGTGGTGTAGCGTTTATGAGTTAGGCTGCTATCTGCAAGGTAGGACGTTTGAAACCACCAGCTACACCATGGGGGAAAGACAGGGCTTTTAATCCCATAGACATTTACAGACTCAGGAACTCACAGGGGCTACTCTATGCTGTCTGATAGGGTCCCTATGAGCCAGTATTGGATGGATGACAGTGAGTTTGTGTGTTTGAGGTAGAGGATCAAAGACAGTCCTTCTTTGCTCATACCCCTTTATTCAAGGAGCCCTCTTGGCACAGCAGGTTACAAGTTGGCCTGCTAAACACAGGACCAGCAACTCTAATCCATAGGAATGGATTTACCGGCAATAAGTATGAACTTTGAGTTACTGCTTAACTCAATTCCTGTTCTTGTGCTGCACTTGCCTTTGAAGTTATAGCTTGACAACACTCTGGGGCACTAATGCCCCCAGCTTCTCATCTACAATCGCATTGGGCACATGTACATAACTAATAGCCTGGTATCGCCTAAGATATGGATTCTCAACCATACTCTCAGCTGTGTTCATCCTTCTCTGGGAATCAGACCCAGATCCAATCAAATAACCTGATGTCTTTATTGACCAATAAACAAAATGCGCCATTTGATCCATCTCAAAAGGAGAATGCAGGGATTTTGAACCTCTCTATATTTAAACGGCCTGGAGTGGGCTATATCTGAGTTCCTCTGGCCTCCCCACTGCCACCAGGCAGCCCCTAAGCATGCCTTCATCTGTGAAAATAGCCATTCTCTTTCCTGAGTCAGAAACCCTTAGAGTCATGTCATCTATTTCCCTTTCCCGTATTCCTAATAACATTTGAATCTTACCAGTTCAATCTTTCCCCTTATTATTCCCACCAGTATGAGTCTAGGCTGTCACAATTGCATGTCCATGCCACTACTCTGGGGTTATTTATCCTCATAAGCAAAGAGGAGACTTGCAAGCATGTTAAAGACTCACAAGCTGTGTATTTAAGGTCCTGAACTCTTGCTTTCCTCTTCCAGTATTATCTTCTGTCAAGTGCCTCTATGAACCTTGATTTCTGATATGGCCCTGTTTTCCATCATGTTTGTATCCATTTTTAAAAACGATGACCCCCACAAAATTGCAAATTATAGCATGATATCATTGGTATCACATTCAAGTTATAGTTTGCTGATGATCATCTAATAATTGTTGTAGCTGGACACTGACAGGGAGCTTCCCAAGATTCAGTCTGGCTTCAGAAGAGGCCATGGAACAAGGGAAATCATTCCTGATATGGCATGAACCTTGGCTCAAAACAAAGAATGCCAGAAAGGTGTTTCCTTGTGTCTTAGTGACTGTGACACTGCATTCAATGCTGTTGTTCGTACATGTGGCTCATAACAGATTATGGGCAGCCTGAGAAGCGTGGGAATGGCAGAACACTTAACCCTGCTCCTGCTGAACTTGTACATGGATCAAGAAGCCGTTGTTATACTGCCTGGTTTAAACTCAGGAAAGGTGTGCGTCCGGGTAATATGATCTCACCATATTTATTCAATCCTTAGGCTGAGAAAATTATCAGAGCATCTTGATTATATAAAGAAGAATGTGGTCTGGAATTGGAGAGAAGCTATTAACAATCCGAAATATAAAGACCCAGCCTGGGTGAATAGGCCCTATCATGGTAAATGAAGAAAAGATTAAAATTGTCCAGGATGTCATCTTGCTTGGATCCACAATCGATGCTCGTGGAATCAGCAGTCAAGAGATCAAATGGTGCATTACATGGTACAAATCTACGGTATAAGACCTCCTTGCAAAGCAAAGCAGTAACTTTGAGGACTAAGGTGTGCTTGATCCAAGCCATGGTATTTTCTATTTCCTCATATGTTTGTGAAAGTTGCACATTGAATGAAGAGGACCAATGAAGATTCAATGTGTCTGAATTACGGAGCTGGAGAAGAATATTCAAAGTGACATGGATTGTCAACTTTGTAAAAATTTAAAAATCTATCTTGGTAGGCTAGCCAGAATCTCCTGAGAGGCCAGGGTGGCAAGCCTTCATCTCAAGTACTTTCCATGGGTTGTCCAGAGAGACCGGTCCCTGGAGAGGGGCATCACGGTTGGCGGTGAAGTGGAGGGGCAGTGAAAGAGAGGGAGGCTCTGGACGAGATGGATGGACACAGTAGATGCAGCAATGGACTCAGATATAAGACCAATTGTGAGGGTGACACAGGACCGGCAGTGTGTCCTTCTGTGTACAGAGCGTTGCTATGAGTCTGCGCTGACTGGATGGCACCTGAAAACAACAACAGTCATGTTCTTGTCACAATGGCGTGAGGGCCACATATGACCCTCCTAGGGCCTCCTCTGGAGCCATTGTAATTAATCCCATTTTTGACACCAAAATACGTAAAATGATGTGAAGCCTACATCTGACCTCCTTTGACTGCACAAGGTAAAAGGAGAACCAACTCAACCAGCCGATAGGCTATTGCATATGGTCTATTGCCCAAAAGCAAAAATCAGACATGTCTCCACCCTCCACTCTGCTTAACGTATTGTGACCCCAGTGGTTCCTCCCACGGGACTTGACTTCTCTGCTGGGTTCAATAGTACATTGCAATGACTACCCAGAACTCACAGACGATACTCATGATTAAGGGGGTTTATTTATTTTAAATTTTTTAATTTTTCGCTTTAACAAACCAATTTATTTCCTCTCAATTTAGGAGGATAGAAATCCAAATTCAGGGCACCAGTTCGAGGGGAAGGTTCTCGTCTCCTTTCAACATCTGTGGGTTTGGCAATCCTTGAAGATTCCCACATGACTTGACATCACTCTACCCGAGTCCAAAGGATGCGCTCCACTCAAGCCCTTCTTTCTGGGCAGCCATGAGGTCCCTCTCCTCTTGCTCACCTCTCTCCTTTTGTCTCTGGTAGGATCAAAGGTGTGACTCCAGCGGGGTGAGACTTGAGTAAGGGAAGAAATTGAGGAAGGCAAAGACGAGTCGTGCTCTCTTATAAGACTGTGACTCAAAAAACACATTAATCCTGACTTATTAACATACAGAGGTTAGGAACGGCCACATAAAATGGAGGATAATTACATCCGGTCACAAAACGGAGGACGGCAACACACCACTGGGAATTGTGGCTTCACAAAAGTGACACATATTTCTGAGTCATTCAATTCAATCTATGACTTTCTATCTTTTGTCCTCCTCCCCAAAGTTCATGTCCTTGCCACAAGTAAAACACATTTGCCCCATCATATCAGGCCATCAGTCTTGAGTTAATTCTAAGTCTGAATCAAATGTAGGTAAGGCTCTAGGCATATTCCACCCCAAGTCAATATTCCTCCTCATCTGTGATCTTGGGAAATCAACACAAGTTTCTCGAGTACAGTGGTGGAACAAGCACAAGACAGACATTTCCATTACACAGGTGAAATTAAAGGAAAAGAAGGAATAAGGGACGTCAAACAGATAAAAAACCCAGCCGCAGAACAGTTTCTATTGAGACTTTCCAGGCACTGGACCTGCCCTGCAGACTCTGGGTGTCGGCCATGCCCTCTACATCTGAGTGGAGGCGCGGTCTTGTCAGAGATCAGCTCTGCTGTCCAGGCGCACTGGGACGGCAACTCTGCCCTCACAACTTGGTGAGTGGTTCCATTCTCCTCATCCGTCTGAGTGGCAGCGCACTTATCCTCTGTCCCAGCAAAAGCTGTTCTTCTGCCCCTTGGGCATGGTAGCCTGGCGCCCTCAGTTTGGGGTGGCACACCTCCCCCCTTGACGCACCTTAAGAACAGTCCCACACTCCAGAAATAGACTGGCCAAGATCTGAGTCACTAAAACCCAGGAGATTGCAGCCCCACCTGTTGAGATCCTTCAAGAAACCATGGCCCTATCCCCTAAAACCAAGAAGGCCCTGTTTCCCATACTCCTTCCGACAAATCTGCTGATCTCTCCAGGGATGCCTCCTTTCTTTTCTTGGAGGGCAACAGATATAGCTCCTTTGGCTCGCATCCTGCTGTAGAGTTCCAAGAAGCCAGCAGCATTCTCTTCTTTCATTCTTTCTCTACCCCTTCAGTCACCATCCAGTGACAGGGTGTTTCGTCCTGTTTTGCTCTTGGAAAGCCTTGCTTCCACGTGCTACAGAAAGCCCATCTGAAAGCTTAGTTTTCAGTCAGACCAATTTTTCCAGGAAAGAAGTTAATCAATTTCAAAGCACCCACCTTGTTGAGGACATCTCGCTGGCAGCCCAGGTAAAGATTGGGGAGAATTCGGGTTGGTCCGATGTTGGCAACAGGAAGGCAGGGCTGAGAAATGCAGGTAGGGACTAGAGCGGACTTTCCTTCACAGAGGCCAGGGAAACACCGGGAGAACTCTGCAAACCCACCTGCAAGCAGGTGTACAGAGGTGAAGCTCTTCTCCAGTTTACCCAGGAGTACAGTGAGAAAACAGTCTGAAGATAGAGAGGCAACATCTTGCGAGCTTTGGTCATCAACGACAACCTTCTGGCTACAATCGATGTCGATCTTCTGTTTTGCTGAATGCTGGATGAGCTCTGTAATTAACACTTTGTCTTGTTGCAACCTTTGCTTCATAAGCTTGGAGCAGTTGATATTAATGGCTTCCAAAATGTGGGATGTATTGTATTCCACAAAAGGCCGGCTGTCAATTAGCAGCACTTTCTCCGTTCCACTTTCCAGCAGAGCCACCAACCTCTCAGTAAGGATTTGAGTTCCAATCATCTCATGGGCCATGACAACAGTGAGTCCTCTTTTCCCACCTCCTTCTGTAACTTGCCACGATGATGTAATGGTGGTGTGCTCAGAGGCTCAGCCACCCCATTGTACTAGAAATGTATGAGGTCAGGCTGGTGGTGACTGGCAAAAAGGGAGTTAAACCCATTTTCAGCAAAAGCTGTCCAAGTGAGTGTCTCTTTCTCTTTCCTGCTGATGTGCACTTGCAAAGGACTCCTCCCACAAAGCAGCCCCTCACATTTGATTCATAAAGAGATGACTGGAATAACCATTCCACAACAAAAGATGCTTTGGGGCAGCCACGCATTACATCATTCTTTACCTTTGCTCCCTCGTTCCAACAGCTTTACGCAGACTGAAAGCTTCTGGGGCGCCGATCTCCCGACGCCCTCCGGGGGAACGAGCGCGGTCACGGCGTCTCCCGTGGGCCCCCCTCGCCTCCCGGAGCAGCGAGGCGCCGCCGGCCGCGTCCCGTCCCGTTGCGCTGTCCTCCCCTCCTCCTCCTCCTCCTCCGATTAAGGGGGTTTATTATGAAGTTAACAGGTGACCACAAGACAAGGTCAGAGAGCATTAAGGACACAGTCATTGATGCACAGAAATACCTCTGTTAATTCTCCACCTCTCTATCAGGGGTGCCTTGGCTTCAGCCTCTGTGGGCCAGGAACCGCCAGATGCTCTGCATCACAGTTTCACAGGCTCCGCACTGCTCCCCTCTCCTGTTGCACGGGCGCCTTGTCTTGGGCTCTGGTCTTGGCCGGCCCCTATGCTCTGTTCCCTGGTCTCGGTGCTGCAGCCACTGGTGCTTCTGGTTTGGGTTTCTGTCACGTCAGGCAGAGTTCCTCCACTGGTGCCTCTTCCACCCTGATGGCCCTGGGATTTCTCTCCATCTTACTTCTAAAATGGTTCTCTTATACTGAGGAGCACGGGAAACTAACTGACCAATCCCTTCTATCAGTGTTTCACACAGAACATTTATATATTCCCAGCTAATAATTGGGTGAAAGTTAGAGACAGGGATAGAAGAGCTATATCAAGACATTTCACTTCACCACATTCATATACCTATCTCCTCAACCTGCCTCTATTTTTACTGAAACACCAATATGATATACTATGCCTTTTGTGAATTCCATATTGTCAGCTCTTAACACCAAAGGATGTTCAGGGAACTAGTTTCAGGATGCTTGGATTCTCAGCCAGACCAATCTCATAAGAAGAGTTAAGAGTCGACATAAAATGAAATATTTTGAAGACAAGTCTCTTACTCTGTAGAAGAATGTACGTCCATCCCAAAGTGGTGTAGTGGGGAGATGCTGATAGATTTTTTTTTCTTCACCTCCAGTTGAATGTCACGGAAGTTTCCATTGCACCACTGAAGCAGTTTGAGAAGCATCCTCTGAGTTTGGGAAACACAAATTAATACAAGCCTAACATCTGTGATGGCTCAGACGGCCTCTGGCAATGGAAGGAAGGGGGCTGCTCCAAATCAGTCTTCAACCCCCCACTTCGTGAAAACCAGGGACCCAGTAGGGTTTTCTGGAGCCAGAGCTGAGAAAGAGACAGCTGGCGGGAGATAGTTTGAAAGTTGACCAAGAGGGCTTTTGTCAGACGTCTGGTGGACTAGTGAGCAAAGATATGAAACGCAAGCAGAGGGGGGTCAGCAGGGGTCACCGCAGAAGCTCCAAAGACTGCATACGAGAGCTCTTGAGGAAAGGAGTCCATTCCACAGATTTGCCAGAATCAGGGAGCCTGAGGTCCGGTCTAGTCAGAGCTCCCCTATCACCTTACCGCTCCTCTCCCTAAACGCGGAACCGGAGAAGAGCAGAGACTCCCACGCAAACTCCAAGTGAACGCGGGGAAAGTTCACTCTATATCACGTTTGGGGATTGGGTTAATATCTTGTGCCTGAATTTTAAACTAGGTCAATGTTTTGACGTAAATAATATCACTTCAAAATGAAAAGATAAACAATCACGGATATGTTGGAGATTGTTTCTAGGTGTATGGAGGAAGAATATTCTTGTGATTACATTTTAAGGAGATTTGTCAGGGGGGTTGAGTCAACCCCTGGTTCACGGTGAACCTCTGGACAATGTTGCCCATGTCTGCGCCATCCCACAACTGGTTGTAGATTAGACCATTGTAATCGGTAAGGTTCTCATTTGTTGATTTTAAAAAGTACAAGCCTTTCTGCCTACTCTTAGCCTTCAAATTCCTCTAATTTTATTCATAACATCATAATAATATGCAATCCTTTACTGACAGGCAACATGCACTGAATTGATCCCAGGTCTTCCACCTAGAAGGTAAGAATACAAATAAACAAACATGAAAGTTTTAATGAGGCTAAGACATGAGTTACAGTTGCTCACCTTCACCATAGCTTTCATCAGATTTCTAAAGGAGATTGTAATAAGAGATAAGGTTAAGGATCCACTTTTCACTCCACAGAGCAAGAAAGTAAGCTAACATAAGCATATGTGTAGCAACAACTTGAAAAAATGCTGCTTCCTCTAAGGAACAAAGTCTTGTGGCTTTGAACATTAAACATACACACAGAATTCTGTGACTCAAAGATAGTATTTTTCACACGTTCCCTTTTCTCTCCAAATGAGCAATTTGGGGGCAAAAGACATATTTAAAGCACAAGGAAAAAAATAAAAGGAGGGTGTCTGGCTCTCTGTTAAGGGAAGTCATGCTCCCTTAGTAGAGAGAAGGATCGTGTGTCTCTACATGGAAACTCCAGCCGTTGCTAAGTCTTGGCCCTACTCTCCACCCACCACATCTGTCTGCACAGCTGATGGACTGCAGACGTCATTTGTTCTGGTGGCCTGAATTACTCCTGACAGGGCCAATAATTGCAAGGCATTCAGACCCAGGAAATACTGGATTCTGAAGCGCTGGCCATACTGAGGAAGTTGTGGGTTTGGACTTCTTGGCCGTAGTTATGGCTGGGGGAGAAGACACTTGCGGACGCTTTTGTCTTCGTGTAGATGATGAGAGAGAAGAGTAGAGTAGTTTGAGGTCCCTGGTAATAGTCTTGTTCTTAGTGGTGGAGGAAGAAGATTATTTTGGAACGATGTCAAATAGAAATATAGGTTTAAGAAATGGCTCTTCTGCTCATCAATTGGAGGCGGATAATTGTGATTTCTATGATAGAAATGACCATCACCATTTTAAAAATAGATAAGGACTTGGCAATATAGTTGTCATTGTCTTTTCTTGCTTACTTATAGCTCATCTTTCCCAACCCCCATCATAATGTCTAGCCTTGTCACTTCATTTCATTGTGGAATTGCTTGTTCATATGACTTGTTTTTATCCTGGTCGCCTAGAGAAACAAACCAATGAGGCTCATCTATGTACAAGAAAGAACTTTTTATCAAGAAGTAGGTTTCCATCAAGAAGGCTCCCTCGCCCAGTTGAACTCAAGTCTGGCAGCTGCTATTAGCCAGGGCCCCGTATACCAGTGGGAGCAGAGTTGCATGGATCCAAGTTCATTGGAAACATGGCAGGGGGCCAACAACTCACAGGGTGGCCTGACCTGAGCTATTGCGTTTTCAATCGCCTCCTACGCTTGTGGAAGTTGGACACTGAGTAAGGAAGACTGACGAAGAAGCCATGGTGCTAGCAACGAATATTGACAGTACTGTAGGCAGTCAAAAGAACAAACCAAATCTGTGTTGGAAGAACTACATCCAGAATGCTTCTTAGAAGCAAGGCTGGCAAGACTCCATCTCACATATTGTGGGCATGTTGTCAGAAGAGACCAGTCCGTGGAGAAGGACATCATGGTGAGTATAGCAGAGGGGCAGTAAAACAAAGGAAGGCTCTTGACAAATGGATCGCAACAATGTGCTCAAACATAAGAACAATTGTGAGGATGCTACAGGATTGGCCAATGTTTCAAACTGTTGTACAAAACCAACCCAATGACACCTAACACCAATCACAACAACAACGTCGTGCTTCCTGGCACATAATAAGTGCCAAATAATATTTGCTGAATATATTTTGGCTTTCCTTGCACATAACTTATCACTATATGAGGGTTCTAAAAGTTCATGTACAATGAAATTGAGAGATAATCAAACTTTTCAAGAAATCTGGGGAGCTCCTCCTGTAAAAGACACTGTGGCAGAAGCATAAAAGGGTGATCTCTAAGTCCTAGCCCTCTGAACGGAAAGAGGACAATGATGGATGGCACTGTGTTCCTCTAACGGATATATTGAAGTGACCACCCTTCGACCTATGAATATAACATTGCATGGGAAATAGGATCTTTCTTTGGAGCTATTATCGGCTGAGTCCTGCAGGAGTAGGATGGGTCCTAACCCTAAATCCTCCTCAGTGCTGCTTTAGGAAGGAAGACAAGGAGAGAGTCACATTCCCAAGAATAGAGACACCATGAGATAGCAGGGACAGATTCATCGATAAGCCGCAAAGGAGCAGCACGGTTCCTACTGGCAGGCACCCCAAACTGGGAAAGTGGCGTACAACAGTTCCTCTCAAAGCCCTCAGAGTCAATGAACATGCCCCAGACTCTGATTTAAACTTCTAGTGTCCAGAACCGTGAGACACGCATTTCTGCCCATCAATGCTCCCCACTTTGCGGGGGGTTGATGGCTGCCCTAGGAATTAAGGTATTAGTGACACACACATACGAGGGAAGCGGTCAGAGAGGGTTTTCCCTTCAAGGACAACGTGGGAAGGAAAGCGAGTGTGCCGAGGAAGACCGGAAGGTGACCAGGGCAATTTTAAGAAGTCTTCCTGAGGGAGAAAGGAGCGTGAGCCGGGACACAGGCCAAGAACCAACCAGACGGTCAGTGTGACTAGGTAAGGGACGATGAAGAGGGTGTCGGAACCCGACCCTTAGGAAGGTGAATCGCGTGTGTGTTTAAGCATTATTTTCCCCATCTGCATATGTCTTCCTCCTCTACATGAGGCCTAGAATCCTAGCGTCACAGTTCCCGTGCATAAACATGATTTATATTCTGTCAGTAAAATGAACTCATGTGAGATGACTATTATGGATTGAATTGTGTCCTCTTAAAGTACATGTTGGAAATCCTAACCTCTATACCTGTGGCTATCATCCCATTGAAAAATAGGGTTTCTTTTGTATGTTAATGGGATCTTATCTGTGGTGTCTTCAATCACTTTTACTGCATTAAAAGGGAAGATTATTCACAGAAGTCAGGAAGCACAACTGGGAGAAAGATGGCTGCCCTGTGGAGCTCTCCAAGGATTTCAAGGAGAACAAGAGAGAAGCTGAGACCGGGATCTTCCTCCAGAGAGGACAGAGAGCCTTCTCCCAGAGCCAGTGTCCTGAATATGGCCTTCCAGTCTCCTAAACTACAAAAAAGTGAATCTCTGGTTGTTAAAGCAACCCACGTATGGCATTTCTG